AATTACCGTCGGTAATTACCGATCGGTAATTAGAAGATGTCGGTAATTACCGAACCGTTACCGAAAATCTCGGTAAATTACCGATCGGTTCGGTAAATTTCGGAGCCCTAGACAGGATTCATGGTTTACCACATGCCGTCATTGAATCAATGGAAAAATGTATATTCACAGAAGCAGGTGAGGCAAAGACTGCCATCATGCCCAGGTAATATATTATTCAGGTACATGCTCATTATTTTATATAAGATACCAAATTCGCTTTGTTTGATTTAAATTTATTATCAACTGCTATGGGAGATTCAACTTCAATCAGTAGTAGTCGTGTGAATGCTAATAAAACGTTTTGATTTATTAATATGAAAATAAGTCAGATATCCCATACTGTCATTGGTTAATTATTGTCATTGTTATTATAACTAATAATATTTGATTGGCTGATCGGCACTGTAGAAAATTTCCTCTTCAAAAGTTTATGGCTGTGGCTGCTTACTCTACGCCTAAACACACCATACCGATACTGACCCTGAATTAACCCATAGTTATCGTTATTTGTTACTAGAATCACTATCGCTATTGTATAATTACCAAAAGTAAATGGTTTTCCACCAACCAACCAAATTTGTTCCGACAACAGGAAGATAATAACGATAATAGAACGGGTACATTTTATTCGAAAAACGAACTAACCAAATTTCTTTATTTCAGTGTTTATCCTTAAAACATTTCTGCGGGTGGCATTAATATCATGACACGTTTGTCAAAGCAGGTTTTTTCTTTTTCTGTCTTCTTTTTGTGTCATGTAACCAAATTCGTTCACTTATGACGTGTGGGACGCAGTTATGCTGCGTATTGTCATTCATCGATTTCCATATACGGTCAGATAAAGGGCGCGACTGTTAATCACTATCGCAAATGAATCAAGAAACTTAACGATAAATGAATGAATTAAATAGAGATCTAAAAAGGAAAAATTCAATCGATTTCTCATTTACAAACAAAACGGTTTATCGACAGATCAATTTGTAATAAAGTTCAAATACCCGAATAGTGATAATAGAAATGCCAATGCCCTAATAGTAATGATAAGAATTTTGAATTCCGCTCAGATCACACACAATGTAAATGATTGTCGAGACGAGTCATTATCAACTTTAATTTTAGAATTTCACCATTGATCACTTGAGCATTGGTCTGAAAATAATGATTAATGTATATGCATTCGAATGTATGATATAATAATAAAATGAAAATCTCATTCATTAAACTTTTGTTCGAAGGATTGCTCCCATTATCTCATTCATTTATGTGTATGCACAAACAAACAATCAATTCATATGTTAATAGCTGATTTCACATAACATGACTAAGTTTCGTTTTTTTTTTTTTGCGATTCATGAATAAAATATTATTCGTTGTTCATATCAGGAATTACATGTGATCGAGTAGGCGGTGAGTAAGAATAAAGATTGTTGAATCTTTGAATGAATGAATGTTTTTATTATTGTTGTAGGTGTTGAAATCGAGATTATTTACAAAGAACAGAAGTTTGATGACGAAGAGAACAGAAAGAAAGAAAAAAAAATAAAGAATATCATTTTGATATGTATATTCGTGTAGAGTTAGTCGACTAGAGAAAGAGAAAGAGAAAGAGAAGAGAAGAGAAGAGAAAATGTTCCTGTTGATTTGGATGGAAGTAATTTGATTATTGGTTGATTCTTGAAAATCGAATTAACGTCATAAAAGAAAAGGAAGTTGTAATGTATATATATAACGATAAATCAAAAATATTAATATTAATACTAAAAAAAAAGATCTAATTGACTGAATAGAATATTCGGTAGACACTCTTCTCCCATTTAAATAGTATATCGTCCATAGAACTGCTAAAAGTAGAAAAAAGAAACCAATCAAAAAAGAATATAACCCAAAAAAGAAAATAAATAACAAACAACAATAATAAGGATGACCATCAAATAGAGAAGAGAATAAATCGGACGGAGAAAGCTGGCAATTGAAATAAATAGATGCTAGTAGTAATCTTGATTACTACTAGTAATTATACAAAAAATCTTACAAGCTATAAAAAAAAAACTTTTTAAAAATATATGAAACTGTACAATATATAAATAAAAAATAAATAAGTAAATTGAGAGATCAGAGAAAAAGGAAAGGGGATTCGAGAATTGAATAAAATGTTTATTATATTATTGGTATTAAGAGAAAGAAATAAATGTTCATTCACATAATCATCCGTATAGCGTATATGTACTTATCTGACATATACTTTGAATTAATAAAGAATGTCGTTGATATCGATGAGAATGCTAATGCTATTATTTTATTTGTGTGTGTATGTTGGGTTATTATTGTTTTTCTACTTTTTTTCATTTTTTTCTACGATTTTCTTCTTCTATTAATAATATTATGCCGCCAATTGATATTGTCTTCCCTCCTTTTTTTTTCTGTTATCGACGCTTATCCGAATATCCGAATATATATGTACCAATAATCAATAATTTTTAACTCTTTCACTCCCATCCCAATAAAATGTTCTTGATTGATATGTGAAGTGAATATTAAATATTAACGTTAATATTATTGTAATAACAAAAGGAATATGATGATAATATTATTAATATTAATATTAATATTAATATTAATATTAATATTAATAACAGTATTTGTTCTTGTTATTGTTATTGTTGATTGCTATGATATAAATACTCTTCATCCATACTTTGACTGGGATTTAAAAAAGGATCAGTAGGATCAAAAAGCATCGGGTTAGAAGTGTATGAAGGATCCAAGTACTGAAAAATACCAGGGAACGTTTCAGACGCTATCGGTGAGAATATGGCCAAGTCTTCACCTTCGTTAGATACAAGATTGTTGTCGGTAGCAGTGATAATGGTACTGTTACTAAAACTGTAATTTGCATCGGAATTCGGCGGTGAGTGAATGCTAAGCGCATTCAAGCCAAGATTATTGCTCGGGCTGGTTATTTGGTCAATTACTCCGTTGTTATTACTGGAAATTGGAGATGTCGAGGTAAAAGCAAGTGATGTATTATTAGGTGTTGATGTTGGACTTTGTGAACCACGTGTTGAGGGAATAGTGGTAGGTGGTGTTGGTAGTGATGCTGGTGGTGCTGTTGTTGCTGTTGACCCCCCATATCCATTCAAATAGTTGTTTATTCGGTGAAGAATCTCAGTATTCTCCCGTGATAATGGACCATAATTTGAGTTAATTTCACAGTTGATTGAGATATTTGCGAGTTGTTCAAGCCCCTGCATAATATCGACAGTTCTATTCTGATTATCGATCAATGGTAATCTCACCAGATGCTCTTTGATCAACTGGAGAATTGTTATGAAACATCGACTTTCCATTAAAACTTGGAGTAATTGATCAAAAAGTGATAAAGATTGTGTCCTAACAAAATACTCTTTTTGCTCATATAATTCTTTCAAAACCTTTTTCTCAAACTGTTTAATCTCGACTCCATTCTGTAGATTAGTGTTGTCTTTTGTCAGATTTTCTGTAACTGTTATCTGCTGTCTTAATTTTCCTTCTATTTCGTTCATTCGCGCTTTAAGCGCTTCTACTTGCTTGTTTTTTCTCGGACTATTATCATATTTACATGTATTAGCATCACAATTACTGCATGGATGTCCTGTCTCGGCGTTTCCATCGCATTTTATCTTGCCTTGTCTGCAACGTTGACATGCCCTCTTATTAATCGGTCCACGACGACGAGAAGGTCCACCGCTACTGTTTCCCGAGTCTGGTGGTGGATTATTATTGTTTTGTTGGCTCGGATATGGACTTGAATTTACACTGGGAGTTCGTGTCAATGTCGTCGCGGTAGACATTCTTTGCTGTTGGGAGGGGGGGTGGGTGTGTGTGTGCCTTGTATTATTTTATTTGTTGTGTAATTTCTTGAGTGTTTTTATAAGGGTGAATGGTCGTTCTTCAACCTTTTTTGGTCAACTATAACTACTGCGTTTCTATTAATAATGAAATGGTAAGGCAGTTAAGGCGGTAGTAGTAGTAGTAGTAGTAGTAGTAGTGATAACAATACTAATAAAATTTACTATTAGAAGTAGGTTTTTAATTATATCAAAGTTTCAAATGGAGTAAGGCCAAAATTTCAAATAAAAAAAATTCGCGAGTCGTAGTAATTTTCGATAATTTAATTCTTGAATTTATCTCGACATGTATTTTATTTATGTGTATGTATGCTCCTTCTAACTCTTTTTTCTTTTCTCTTTTTCTCTTTTTTCTTTTTTTTACTTTAATTCTATCTCTAGAAATAACGAAAGGGTTTAATCTTTGATTGATACTTTAGAAAAACTTGGTATGGTGTTTATGTGGTATTTATGTGAAAGTGTCGCAGTTTTGATGTTCATGAAAATATACAAAGTAGTCTGTATCGTAACACACCCAACTACTCATGAGCACAAATTTATTTACGGCGAAAGACTCGTTTAGGAAGCACAACAATGATGGATATCAAAAATATCTATTAGTATTGCTATTAGTGATGAGTAAAAACATAAAGCTGTGTGTGTGACATGAGATTGAAAAAGTCATTACCACCAGGAATTTTCGATTTTAACCAAAGAATTTCTATAGGTAAGTATCGAAACAGCGTGTTGATATAAAATTATTAAATAAAGAAAGATGGAAATGCCATTCTCATACACAATCACAATCTCGTAATCAGCCACTTTTACCACATTCACTAGCCACTTTCGCGAATGACAAGGTCATCAGTTTCTTGTGTTTAAAATCTTCCACTTTTGATTGGTATTCACTAGCCACACGTAAGACTTCTTTTGTACCTCTTGCCAATTCGGGTGAAAACAAAGGGAAGATGTTATTTCACAATCTACATATCATATCGGACATATCTGCTTTCTTTCCGTTTAGTCTTTAAAGACTTGGACGTTATTACATGTATTAAATCTTGTGTTTCACCGTGTGCGTATCTAGTTTAACTCGATTATCATTTCTTTTTTTCAGATGATCCCAGGATGAATTTTTACACCACATTTATGTTTCCTTGGCACATTATCAAATCTCGATGCACTCCTGAAATGTGTGCCAGGTTGGTGGCGCAAACCAATAAGGATGCGATTTGCCGGTGGCACAGACCAATAAGATGGGCGGCAAAATAAAAAAAAAGAAATGGATATTCAAATCTAACTTGGGTACTAGCGCTAGCGCTAATGAAAAATGTTGGGGAGTAATTTTACATATATACTATAAAATTTTCCAGGATCAGAAGTGCAGTCTAGATTTGAGCGGTAAGACAAAAACCGCCTCACTCGCCACATTTGCCCCAAATTTTTTTTGTGCGCCACTGTATTTCTTTCAACCTAGCACGTTCTTGGCAAAAATTCCGAGGAGTGTGTATCAGAAAAAAAACACTGACGATGCTTATTAATGTGCAAAACACACTTCACTTTTTTATTTCTTTTACCGTTTATTCTCATAGGTTTATCCTTTTTAACATCTGCATTTATCAAAGGAAAAAAAATAATTGCTCATCTGACTATCCATTAACCACATGCGTGGCGTAAAATTCAGTTTGACTTTTCTACTTCGTGAGGTAAAAAAGGTAGAACTTTGATGATCCCATGGCCATTGTTCCCGATTTGGAAAACAAAATGTGATATTTAAACGGTTGTCATTGTGGCTTCTCTTTCGACACCATATCACATCACTATCTTCTGGAAAGAAAAATAACGATGATGATTACCTCATGCATTGTGCATCATTGTGCATTATATGCACAATAAGAAAAATATCCTCATTAAGTCATAACCAGAAGCAAAGTCGCTTTAGCAGACACAAAATCTCATTTGTGCTGTAGATCGAAATAAGTTCAGCAAGATGTTCTGCACAAGGTAAAACGTGAGACTCCGAGAAATCGTAAACATAAAGGCCTTTTAATCAAGTATCAACTTTATGGACTTTTGTTTAATTGTGAAATCTTTATTTATTTCTGCAATTCTTGGATTTGGGGAGGGGACCAAGGTAGGCAATGTTGGGCACTGGATCATATAAGTCTAGTTTGAAGTCAAAATGACTAGACTTATGACAATGCCCAACATTGTAGGTAGGTTATCGAATGATTGCTGAAATCAAATGTAACGAAACAAATGTCATTTAATACAATAATTATTTAATACTTTTAAATATCTTTTGTTAGGTATTGAATGTCTTAATAAGACATTCTACTAATTGTAACATCCATTAAGAAAAGTTCAAGACAAAGGCTTGCCGATTTCCTTCACTTGATGATAGGTTTATTGTTCAATAATCGACGAACTGAATATTTAATAAATATAATTGCTAATATACACATATCTATACATATATACATACACATGTGTGTATTATGTGAGTGTTCAAATACAAATATATTGTTCTTGGATATGGAATCAGAATCCATATAGAAATTTTTCGGGCAACACTAATCTTATCCCCGCACTAACCCTAACCCTAGCCATACACCTATCCTAATTGGGGCCGATTCTGAATCTCGTTTTCTGTACAACATAAAAGTGTTTCTTCCTTAGTCGCAGTATTCAGTTTCAGATGTAGAAATTATTTTTGTGCTGAAACTACATCAATCAACTGCTTTTTGTTTGCCTTTAATATCTGGGTGAGATGATTCAGAAATTTCATCGTCATCAGAACTGTTAAACAAATTTTCTATATTTGGCGCGACGAGCCATTGCTTGGTTATGTTTCCCATCTCGTAGATACCTTTTGTTTCCTCATCAGTGTCAATCACAACAGCTGTTTGAGGAAACGTAACGTCTGAGGCTGGGAAAATCTATGATTGAATAATGATTTTATATATATATATATATATAATTATTATAAAAAGACTAAAATAAGAACAGCAACTTACATCATATATAATTTCTCCGATTTTTAGTTTTATGTCGCCATTCTTATACACCAAAAATGTTCCTATTCTTCCTTCTGGCATCGGCTCTATTTTGATCTCGTCTGTTTTTTCTTGATTTTCTTCATCGGTTGTTTTTGACTTATTTTGTGCCTTATTATTTTGTAATGCCTTTGAGTTTTGTGCAGTTACATTACGTTGTTGAGATCGCTGTTCTGGTTGATTTTCAAATCGTGCGACTTTTGGTTTTTGGGGAGGAAGAAATTCTGGCATATTTGCCGGGAATTGCATCAAATACAGATCATCATCCTAAAATAATATAACAAAAGGTGAATAAGTTATACTAGAGTAACAATTAATAATAATGACTTACTATCTCACTGAATGGGGTTTTATAAACACCAGTTTCCATAAAAACAGGTTGAGGATCGCTCGATAGATCTAGTTCAGGTAAAATCTTTAATTGAATATCTTCAAGGATCTCCTGATACTCCTCTTCTTTTTCTCCAAAAACGACTATAGGAGCCCATAGGTCATCATTATCAAAGCCATTTGCTAGATGTTGAGCGTTCTCGACTTCTGATTTCAGTTTATTATCTGAAATAATTTTCATGCTACCAATTTCTCCAAAGTCATCAAAATCGTCGTGACCCCCCATATCGGATTCAGCAGGCCCAAAGGCAAAAGGACCAGACGCGACCATATTAAAGTCTCGCCTTGGACGAGGACCTATTTCCGGGAAGTCTGGAATACCCGATTTCGTATCATCTAGGCTGAAATAAGAAGATTCATCGACATATGGTAAGGTGAGCTTTTTGCGCCTGACCGGACTGTTTGGTGTGAACGTGGTTCTCTGGTTACCTCTCATTGTAACAGCATTGGACGGGGCGTTAGAGATTGTATCGACATCATCATCTTCCTAATAAATAATAAGATAATTCAGGTCGGAATCTGTATAAACTGACAAAATATGTATAGTACCAGTCACACAATCTCAATTCTAAAGCAGAAATTACATTATATATATACATCTGAGTCCAATATAACCGTTCATTGTGCTATCCAAAAGAAGAGTAATTTATCAAAGTACCTTGGAGAAAAACGAACCTTTACAATATGAAAATCATAGTCGGGAACAGTTCTTATAGAAGAGAGTCGTCCAATTGGTTTTGTTTGTAACGAATCCAATGATTGTAAGCGTCCTGGAGGCAAAAAAGAATCCGGGTGAATGGTACCAATTCGCCTATTTGAAGGCTTGCCAAGAAAAATTGCTGCATCTTCGATCTCATTGTCGTCAGATAGGATTTCCGGGTTGTTTTGATCTATTTCATCTATAATCACTTCATTTTGAGAAAGATCAGAGGGTTGGTTGGGCCGAGCTTGCAAGCTTGTTGAAGCGGCGACTTTCGAACGTCCACGTTTTTTGGAACCGGCAACATTACTCTGAGAATTCGAGGGAAACGCGTCATTTGCTGGAACCTGTGCCTTGGGTTGACGCTTTCTAGGCGTTCTTGGCTTAGGAGAGTTGGCAGTTTTTTCCTTTGGTGAAACTCGTTTTTGCATTTTCAGAATGTTGAAGAGGTTTAAAACAGATTTTGCATTGTGTTTAATTCAAAAAAATATATATTTACAATTTCGTAAATATTTTTTTCTGTTCACGTGATTCTTGGACGGATTTATCTCCGGAAAAAAATAGCAAGGCAGATTATTTCTACAAGCAAATAAGCAACGGCCAAAGAATAGTTCCAACTACCAAGCGGAGAATTGTTTCATCCGACTGCAATCACAGCTATAACTTATTCCTTCATTAAATACAAAATACTTGCAATCTTTAATGTTGAAAAACAATACGCGAAAAGCTTAATAAATATTTTTGAAATTTGCGCAATACAAAGTAACACAGTACAAACAGATTGCTAGACTTATACAAGAAATGAAATAAAAGTTCAATAATAAATATATACATCAAAAAGAAATATATAACGTGTTGTTGATCGGGAGAAAGTTATTCACACAAAAGAGCATATGATAACCAACTTAATAACCCACGGCTTGCAATGCTTTCCTTCTCCTTCCTAGCAAAGTCGCACCTTCAAGATTAAGATCGAAATCAATTCGTCTTGCTTGATTTTTCTTTGCTTTGACCGCAGAAGGGAACACCGCATTTTTATTACCGGTCTGCATTTTGACAGGCTCATTAGCATGTGAATAAGATGGACCTACTGCCGAATGTTCACTTTTTGTCTGGTTTGTAGAAGACGACGACCAGGTTAACAGTTCATCTTCATCGTCTTCATCGTCATTTTGAATTATTGTGATCATGTTTTTCAAGAAATTCTCGCGTGGAACATCGTTGTTTATATTAACCTTTTTTCGACGTGGAACTTCTTCTTCCATTCTATGTACAGCATAGCTTACTTCAAAAGCTTCTTTCAATGAAGCCAAACCAGGTGAAAAAACTTCAGGTTGGAGTAATCTATTAAGACGAACTGAAGGTGTAGTTGCTGAAGAACCAAAATCCAGTGGTGGCAACTGATGACCCCCAATATTCGTTTCGTTTGACATAGTTTCAACATTTTGAGAGGCGTTTGTTGTTACATTAGGATAGAAAGGCTATAAGGAGCATAAAAACTCCAGATTATTACAGGTTGTTCATAAAGATCCATAGATAATGTTTTTCTTTTTTTATTTACCTCATCTTTCACCCATGGATGCTCGAAGAATTCCTTAATTGTATAACGTTTATCGGGATCCACATCAAGCAAATGTGTGATCAAGTCTTTTGCTATTGCGGTGTTAAGATGATAAATAAAAATTTTCGATATCCGCTCTGAATTATGGTGTTGATAGTAAAAATTACTTACAAGAAGCAGATATATCATCCCACCAAGGACTTAGGAAAGTGTAATGCCCTTTTGCAACTTTCTCAGTTAGAATCTGTATGCTTTCGTCGTAAAAAGGTGGGAATCCACATAGGAGTGTGTAGAGAACACAACCGAGTGCCCACATATCAACACTTTTACTATAGCGTTCGTCTTTGACAATCTCTGGTGCAGTGTATCCGACAGTTCCACATGGTGTCATTGTTTGCTCATTCCAAACTACCTTTGATAAGCCAAAATCTGCAATTTTTACTACACCAATGCCACCTCCTCCTACACCAGAAATGAATTCGCCTTCATCCTCTTTAGGTTCATCGTTAGGACCGGGTGGTGGAGGCGGAACTTTTGATGGTATGATAGGAATTGGATCAAATAATAAATTCTCGGGCTTAATATCACTAAGTAAAAATTTAAATTCGTCAAGTTATTGATTCGTATATTTCTTTTATATGTATATTCATAGAACATATTATTCAAAAATTACCGATGAATGACACCTTTTTCTTCATGCAGATAATGGATCCCTTCGGCAACCTGAACGATAACATGCCGTGACAAGGGTTCCGAAAAATATGTCAATTTTACGATCTGATGAAACAATTCACCACCTTCCATTAATTCCAGAACCAGATAATAGTACTCTTTATCTTCCGAAAAAGAAACGAGTGATACTATCGACGGATGTTTCAACTGACGCATAATCTGAACTTCTTTAAGGATGTTGGCGCGCTATAATGTCATTAATAAAAAATCGTTAATATTGAATGATAAAAAATGACGTGAGAATTGATATTCAATAACTCTCGAAAGATATATAAGCATACTTGGGCATCTGCATTATTTCAAGCGTATATTGAATAACAATTCTCAAATCCTGTGCATAACACAATCTGTTCGGGAAATTATGTCATTTTGGACAAGAACCCTAAACTCTTGAAACGAACAAGCCTAACCTCAATAGCACGAGGCTTATTCTTCACATCACGGTGAAGATGCCTCTCCTGTAAACATTAGAGAAGTGAATTATGACGTATAAATAAGGCTTCATAAATAGAAGCTCTTTACAGAGAAACTTAAAGGATTATTATATGGAGTCGCCTAAAAAATGATAGCCTTCGTCCAACTATGTATGCTAGTGGGCTTAAGCCATGGTGACAGTGATTTCCCTTTTCCAATTCGATTATTATTTTTCACTCTGATCGTACCTGTGAATTATTAAGCTCATATTTTCGGACAACTTTGATTGCAACTTTTTTCTGGGTGACAGTGTCCAATGCTTTGTATACATTACTAAATGCACCACTAGAATAATTTAATTAAGATTTTCAATTGGATATTTCAAAGGCGGGTGGAATCAAATCAAATAATTAGGATAGATAACGTTTGATCAATTTCATAGATTTTTGCATCTGTATGCTAGGAAATACCACTCACTCGCCCATTTTTTTCAGAATTTGAAAACGCTGCAAACCAGGATATTTCGGCACTTTAGCTTTTTGATCACGCTCCTCGGCAACAATTTGAGCTACAGCAGTTGCATTGTCGACCTTTGGAGCAATTTCCGGGTAAATGCGAGAATTGGTGTGAGTTCGTTCGGGCAGAGGTTGCGGAGTTTTTGGTTGGCGACCATTATCTCGCCCATGCTTGGTGGCTTGCTTGCCATGACGAATGAGGCTTTTAAAGTGCTCAATCATTGGCAGATTATAATTGACGAAAAAACAGCGTTTTGCCCAGTGATATCGTTTTCGAAAACAATGTGCTTCGAAGAACAGAAATTAATGACCGCCAAGTCACACTATACAAAAAACTAACAAATTAAACAGGCCGACCATACTTGAAGACTGACAACAACAAAGGAATATAAGAAAATTGGTTACCTTAATATTAGACCTAATTAGAAAGTGTAAAGCTTTGCATTCAACAAAGTTATGTAGTCAATGTACAGGATTATTTATAGGATGTTTGAAAACTAGTTCGGGAAAATACTGGCGGCAATAGTTGTAATAGTTGACGTTTCAATGATGTCAGCGAATTATTATATACACGTGATCGACATGTTAAATCAACATCTTGTAATTGTTGCACAAATTCATGACATCGCCGTGTAATTAAAATTTTTCTTCCCTATAAAATAGCGAATCCAATTTTTCTTTCACTTTACACAAAACAGATCCCCTCCTCGTTAAAAATAAGCGCCAAACATGAGCACTTTTGAGAAGGTATGAATTAGGCAAAGCGGCTTCAAACTTCCTTATACAAGGAAAAAATTTCTCTAAGCAAAACATGCGAACTCTTTGACTTGGTTGTTCTGGGACTATTTTAGGTGGTTGTTATTGACGGAAAGGGTCACTTGCTCGGCCGACTCTCATCTATTGTGGCCAAACAAATCCTCACTGGACAGAAAATTGTGATTGTGCGCGCGGAGGAAATTAACGTGTCTGGATCTTTCTTTCGAAATAAAAGTGAGTTTCGGCTATAATAAAACCCAATTCTAATGGTCCGGTTTGATTTCATTTGATCATGAAAACCCTTTTTTTATAATTAATCTTCTTTTATGATAGTCAAGTACCACAATTACCTTCGTAAACGGATGATTGTAAACCCTGCGCGTGGTCCATTCCATTTTCGTGCTCCTTCACGAATTTTTTACAAAACGTTGCGTGGAATGATCCCACACAAAACGTCACGAGGTGCTGCAGCCCTTGAACGTCTTAAGATCTTTGAGGGAATACCACCAGAATATGCACGTCAGAAGCGTAAGGTGGTCCCTGCAGCATTGCGTGTACTTCGACTAAAACCCGGTCGTAGATATACCACGATCTCACGTCTGTCGTGCGAAGTTGGTTGGAAATATGAGGATGTAGTCAAGAAATTGGAGGCTAAACGTAAGGAACATAGTAACAGTTATTATTTGGCAAAGAAACGTATTGTTAACTTGAAGACGAAGGCGATCAAGAACAAGGAAGGTGATAAAGAATTGAAGAAGATTAATGAGAAGTTGGCAGCGTATGGTTATTAGAAGCTTTGAGATGTAGAATTGGTAGTCTAATATTTATATATTATTAAATGATAGCATGTGCAAAGAGTGTATCAATAAATGCCTTTAACTAAGTTATCGGATATTTAAATGTAGATTTAATTCAAATGTAAATTTTTGAATGATGAATCGTACGTAATGTGAATGCAATAGATGATACGCCACCACAAGAAAGATCCTTTTTTACTTTGTTTATCTGACAGAGATTAATTCGTGTTGCAAAAAGAAGCAAGATTTGGACAAAGTATTTATAAAAAATAAAATTCGCGAAATCGAAAAATGAAAGTTTAGTTTTCCATTAAAAATAATACAATGAATAAATAATTTACGCATCTAAAATTATTATCTTCATCCTTAAATACTTATCTATTTATCACTTAAATAGTTTTTCACACACTTTTCCAAATATCCACCAACACCATTGCCATCACCTTTTATTAGCGGTTCGAGAATCCGTTCCACATATTTACCTAACATGTCCACCTCGATATTTACCTTATCTCCAATTTTTTTTGTCGGGATCGTAACATGTGCTTGCGTGTGTGCAACCAACATGATTGTAAACCATGCTTCTTTATCGTTTACTTCGCATACTGTCAACGAAGTCCCGTCTATTGTAATGTAACCTTTTTGGATGATGTAACGAAGATAGGAAGGATCGGCTAATGTGAATTTGAACCAGAGTGAATTAGATTCTGGGGTTATGGATGTAATTGTTGCTGTTAAATCTACATGACCCTGAAATCAAGAGAGAATGAGAATTATACATATATATAGTAATTAGTTAATGATTAATTAATTAATTAATTAATTAATTAATTAGTTACTTAATAGTTACTTGTACGAAATGTCCACCGAATCTTATAACAGCTGAAACTGCACGCTCTAAATTTACTTTATCTCCAATTTTCAAATCACCTATTATTCAAATCAATAAACATCAGATTATCTATAATAATCATATGTTTGGTTTGATTTTTACCAAGATTAGATCGTCGTAAAGTTTCAGGAGCAAGGCCAACTTTGAATGAAGATTTATCGAATTCCGTTACAGTCAGACATGTCCCTTTTACATGAGATTATAAATTTGAACCGATAGAATTTTACAATTTATTGTTCTTGAAACAGAATTGTCGAAACACGAACCATTTACAGCTATGCTATCGCCTATATGACAATCTGTTAACACATGTTCTGCTTCACCTATAGTTACACTCCAACCTCCTCCACCCGAAGCGGTAGTATCAAGTTCAACAATATCAATAATGGTGCCAATGTGTTCTACGATACCAGTGAACATGGTGACTAATTATGCAAGAAAACGAGCCCTGTTCAGAACATTTAGATTGATTCATCCAATCAAAATAACAGAAATTTCGGAACAAAACAGAATTAAACGAGACCTAAAATGGAATTGGTAACGTGAAAGTTAATTTCTAAGTATCACATGTGTTTATTATTGAATCCGAGAATCGTGTGTTGTTATCATTTCTTTTCGTTAACTTCTTTCTTTCGCTCCTTTCTCCCACCTTCAAAACGACCGGTGCTTTAAACAGGTGCCTATATTACACATTCCTTATTTATGTGTGTGTAGACTATTTTTATAAACAACCTCTTTCTTATTATCTCCTGAGCATACGATATTCTTCCACCTCAGTAATATAAAAACTCGCTTTAGATGCCCAATCTTCTAGCACAACTAGAAAACATCTAACACAAAACATTTTTAACTACGCATACATACACACACATAAAAATCTCCCCCATAAAATGAATAATAAATATAATAATAACAATAAAGTAAAACGAAGTTTTTGGGTGGTGGCATTGTTTGTTATACTGGCAGCCGTACTGGTGACGACTGTCTGCGATGCAGGTATGCATTTATAAAGAAAACTCGAAAGGTTTTATTTTCATTTTTATTTATATTAACTGTTTTGAATTTTGTATTTAAGCCCCTCCGAGTACTACAACTGCTGCAGGTACAAATACAGGTGGAGGAACTAATTCAAATGGTAATAGCAATAGCAACAGCAATAGTAATGGCAATGGCAATAGTAATAGTAATGGCAATGGCAATAGTAATAATAATAGCAATAGCAACAACAATAGTGGAAGCTCTTCTAGTGGTAATTCTAGTGCTGACATTAAACCGGTTCAAACTAATGAATCACCAAGTCAATCGGCTTCACAAAAAGGTTTGTTATAGTCATCTATGCTATACTCAACCAACATAAATATTTAACTAACGATGAAAATTTAATAATCAGCAACTCCAACAAATGCTGCTGCACCTGCCTCAAACGGTAATAATGCAGCCACAACAGCTGAAAAAGGGACTCCAGTAACGGCAGGATTACCATCTTCCACCAAACCAACACAAATCACTGCAGATAGTAATAATCCTTTACCAAGTCTCCCGGCAAATCCATATGCAGGTGCCAATGGAACAATGACATGGCAACAGTGTGTCGATTACGGGAAATATTGTCGTGATGTCATTTGCGCGTTCCAAAACTACACAGCTACTTGTAAAGGAGCCGGAGGATGTTAGTATTTATGTTATAATTAATTATTTCAATTAATTTTATTAATTTATTTTATTTCTTTAGGTACATGTGTTGGTCCAACATATAATAAAGCAGATCGAACTGTTCCAATCAAAAACACTGTTCACACTTACACAGCTCCAGTCTTATTTATTTCTATTATCAGTTATATATTTGGGCTTTTATATTAGTTTGAAGGTAAACATTATCAACAACTTCAAATAGATTATTCATATATTATTTATATTATTTATCATAAATAGAAAGAATTCGAAAACACATAATACCATCAGTTTTGTATATATATATAATAATAGTTGTTATATTGTACTACCACGAAATATTAAATATAATTTTTCCAAAAAATTATGGATTTATTAAAAATGCGCACTCTGCACAGCAGTGCACCCACTATCACGTGACTAAATCGCACGCCACTTGAAAAGCCTGCAAACAGGCAAAAGTACCCTTAATTCATGTTACTTCTGCGCAGTAAAGCAATAAAGTCACGTTTTTTATAATACCCAAAAATTTTTGGCATTTCCCAGATTTCTGATTGGATGCAAGTAATTTCCATCGCTGATTGGTTGACTGCACACTGGGTTTTCTAAATCAACAAATAAAAATGCATAAATTTTTGATCAAACCGGCAAAACAAGTCCAGCACAAGAATAAAAAGGCAGATAATGTGAAAACAAATGAATAAATCTGGCTCGAAGCAGTCGACCAACAAAGAATAGTAATAATTTTATTAGAACAAACACTATTATTATTTAACTTATACCAATGAATAATAATAATAATTAAATTAACCTCTTATTTCAAATTCAACCATTATTGATTGTTCTTCAGGTATTGAATCCAATTTAACAAATTATAACTCCAAGTTCTACCAACTCAACTTTACTTGCTATTTATGATTATCTAGCTAGCAATCAAAAAAGAACTAAGCTAGAAAAATATGAAGCAATTGAAAATAAATGTAAAAATGTAATTATAACTAAAACAAGTAACTTAAACTTAATTATATCAAATATTTTGTTTGTAAAAATCAAGTTGAACAATCAAGTTCTATTACATGAATTATTGCATCAACAAAAAATTCAAAAAAAAGAAAGACAAAGTTATTTTATTTGTTTTTGTTATCAGATTTATTCTATATAATATTTTGGATGATTTGATAATTATTAAAACTAATATAATTAATCTAAATCTTTCCAGAACAATATTTTAAAATATTTAAAATTATATAATAATTTGCCTGATTAAAATAAAAGATCACAAGAAAAATTACTGAAATAATTAAACAAAAAATCAGAATTATTTTTATTTTAATTATTGATATTGAATTCTTTGGTAATATTACTAGCAATAACTTTTTAAAAAAAATATAGAATTAAAATCCAATGAAAATTTAATATTACTGTTACTATAGCAATATTAAATTTTTTAATTTTATAATAATTTTAATACAAATATTATTTTTATAATTATTATTATACAAATCATTATTGTTTAGTATTAGAAATATTTTTTAAAACATATATTAAATGAATATTTTAAAAATATTTAAGAATAATTTTTTAAAAAGCACATATATTAGTGTTATAAAAATATTAAAATAATTAAATTAAATATTATAATAATATTTAAAGAAATATTTAAAAACATTAATATGATTTTAATTAGTTCTTGATAAAAAACTAAATTTATATATGTAATAATATTCTTGAATTTCTGAAAAAACATGCTCTAATCAAATTAATAAAGTATCAATTTGTAAAATAACTTACTTGTTAACAAATCTTTTCACTTGATTATCTTTAAATTTTGTATTTAAATAATAAAAAATCTTTATTCTAAATAAATTATACTTTTAATTTTATTATTTTAATTAGACAATCTCAATAAGTTTTATATTAATTTAAAATTAGAATTTAATTAATAATTTGTTTTGAATTTGTCAAAAAAATTTAAATTTATCTTATATTAAATATCAATCTTTATAAAAATTGATATAGAGATTTTTAAAATAGTTAAAGAATCTCTTTATTTATAAATCATTTAGTTTTAGCTTATAAGTTATATTAATTATTCTTTTTCTAATTACAACAATTATTAAAGAGATATAATATTATAATATTTTAAATAAATAGTAAATAAAATAATCTTTTAATATTGTTGTATAATAATCTTTCGTCATAATATTTTATTATTGGATTAAATATATATCTCATATCTTATTGAATAAAGATCAAATCACATGAAATGAGTGAACAAGCGAACAAACAAGTGATCAAGTGAACAAGTGAATGAACGAATAACTAAATAAATGAGCAAACGAACAAGTGAACGAATATTTAACCAATGGAATTTAAGTGATATAACGAACATGAATTCGTATAGCCTAGAAATTATATCTTGGATTTGTATAAAAGCAACATGTAT